CCCGAGGAAGTGACAAGTTTTGCCGCAAATACGCCGATGATCTGGACCAGAGCAGGTCAATTTACTGTGATGAAAAGATCGTTGCTCTACCAGATTTTACGCCATACACGATGGAATTACTGCTCGAGTACCATTCTCTCCATAGCCGGCAATTCCAAGATTCACTCGCATCTATCTCACACGCCCTCTCTCCTGCCTCTGCTGCTGAAAACACGTTATACAATGCTGGATTATGGCCCCGAGTTACACCAAATTTCCTCTTCACTCGCATGGCTTCTGCAGCAGGAAGTTCTTTGGGGAAGGCTTGGCGTGCTACTCTTATCCAGCTGTCGCAGATACTTTTGCAACTGCAACGCTCGCGAAGGCTGTTGGTGTTTGCCGCTAACAAAAACTGGGTCGAGTTCTTCAAGGAGTTGGAGAGCGAAGAATGTGAGGGATTTGATCAGGAGCAATACCCTGACTGGCTTTTAATACAGGTACACTATAAAGAAATCAATCACTGACGATAACTGATAGTGGCATCCTCAGATTGAAAGTCAGTTCTTGGCACGGCCAGTCCAGGTCAAGGTCGCGCTAGAGATGATGTCGCCATCCACAGGAGGAAATATTTCTCTGCAGCTGAACATGGGCGAAGGCAAATCCTACGTGATCGTTCCCCTCGCAGCAGCTGCACTCTCTGATGGCCACAAACTGGTCCGAGTAATCGTACTGAAGTCGTTGTCGGCTCAAATGTTCCAACTCCTGGTTGAACGACTAAGCGGCCTTGCACAGAGGCGCATTTTCTATATTCCATTCTCCCGCGCACTCTCTATCAATTCATCGAAGGTGAAAATGTATCGCGACCTGATGCAAGAATGCATGGATACTAAGGGCATTTTGGTCGTTCAACCGGACCACATTCTGTCGTTCCAGTTGATGGCTATTGACCGTCAGCTGCCCCCTCGGACTGAAGCTGCTGAAGATATGCTTCGGACTCAGTTGTGGCTCGACAATCACACACGCGACATCCTGGATGAGAGTGATGAAATTCTTCACGTTCGCTACCAGCTTGTATACACTGTGGGTCTCCAAAGGTCGCTTCAAGGTCATCCAGAACGGTGGACGACGACACAACAAGTGTTGAGTCTTGTCGCGAAGCATACCGCCAGCTTCATGAACAAATTTCCCTCTCACTCAGAAGTGTCTACTCGCGAGCACGGAGTCTTCCCTTTTGTTCGAGTTCTGCACTCGACAGCAGGTGAAGCATTGGTCCAATGGATCGCACAAGATGTGATTAGTGGGGCACTTGACAATGTCAGCTTCGACCAAGCATCTTCCCACATGAAGCAAGCTGTCCGCCAGTTCATCGCAACTGAGAAGATCTCCAACACTTGCATCAGCTTAGTAGAGAAGTGCTATAGACACACCACGATCTGGCCCGGCCTCCTAGTCTTGCGTGGACTGCTAGCATGTGGTATCTTGGTGTACGCCCTCAAAGAACGTCGTTGGCGCGTGGACTATGGCCTTGCCCCAAAACGAACGATGCTAGCGGTTCCATTTCGCGCCAAAGATATGCCTTCGCTGCGGGCAGAGTTTGGCCATCCGGACGTTGCTGTCATCCTCACGTGCCTGTCATACTATTATGGGGGTCTCACGCTCCAGCAACTGATGTTGTGCTTCGAGCTCCTGATGAAGCAGGATAATCCCGCCCTCGAGTATGAATCCTGGGTACTTGGACTTCAGTCCGTCCCAGAAAGCCTGCGCCACCTCAGTGGAATCAATACGGAATCCGCAGAGCAGCTCCGTGACCTTCAGCAACTATTTGAATTCAACAAGGCAGTCATAGACTTTTACCTGTCCCGAGTCGTTTTTCCCAAGGAAGCGAAAGGATTCCCCAGCAAGCTCACCTGCTCCGGGTGGGATCTCGCTCAAGAGAAGAGACATCTCACAACCGGCTTTTCTGGTACCAACGACAATCGCTATCTTTTACCAAGCTCGATGGTGCAGCATGACCTTGATTACCAACGCAGCACGAATGCCCGAGTCCTGGCGTTCCTTCTGCGCCCGGAGAACAACTACTACACATGCATACCGCCTGGCCAAAAGGTATCACACTTTATCGACACCTTAATCACGCAAACTCCCGAGGTCCGCGTGCTCTTGGATGTGGGTGCGCAGATGCTGGAATTGAAGAATCAGGAATTGGCCGAGGAATGGCTTCGAGCCAAGCGCGACGCCCAAGCTGCAGTCTTCGTGAATGACGATGATGAAATTGTCGTCGTCAGTCGGGATGGGACAGTGGAGCCCCTTGTGTCATCCCCCTTTGCCCAGCAGCTTGACCAGTGCGTGATATATCTGGACGATGCGCACACCAGAGGAACGGATGTCAAACTTCCTTCCGGCTTCCGGGCTGCTGTTACACTTGGTCCGAAAGTTACGAAAGACCGCCTGACGCAAGGTTCGTAATTCCAGAGTTCATGCGTATCAGTTTCGACGATGACCAATGACACAGGGTGCATGCGAATGCGGAAGTTAGGCAATGGACACTCGGTCATGTTCTTTGCTCCGACGGAAGTTGACCGAGGCATTCGTTCGGCGACTCAGAAAGCTGATACCGACGATGTCGACGTGGCAGATATCCTGCACTGGGCGATGCTCGAAACTTGTCTTGACATTCAGATGCGTGCATTCCACTGGGTTCAACAGGGATTGGATTTCAGCACACGGCATTCCGCATGGACTCAATTCTCGCGCTCCCCTACTACTTCGACTTCTACCCTGGAAACCGCTTGGTTGCAGCCAGAGGAGCGTTCATTAGAGGATATGTACGCACCACGCGGCCCTTCGCAGATATCACATGTTTGCAATGCAGACATTCGAAGGAAGTGCGGGGAACTCGGGGTTCTAATGGGACCTGAGAGGAGCATGGATGAGGAACAAGAAAGGGAGGTAGTCCACGAGGTAGAGAAGGAACGTCAAGTTCAAAGACCGCCAAAAGTAGTACCTGCGGTTCAGGACCTGCACGCGGACGTTCGTCGATTTGTCAAGACCGGCCGAATTCCTACAGGGTCTCCTGCATTTATTCCAGCGCTATCCACCCTTGTCTGCACTACTGCTGGATTTTATGAAGGCGATCAGTGGGCACACAATGTTTTAGTCACCCGTGACTTTGCTCGTACGGTGTCTTTCATTGCCATACAGAAAGCGGGTGAATACCTGCGGCCCTGTCAATTGGATTGTATCCAGTGACGTTGGAGTGCTGGTAGTCATGAGCCCGAATGAAGTGGACATACTGCTGCCTGATATCCGCAACAGCCATGTAGTTCACTTATGTGTCTATACCCCCCGCACCACAAACACGATGAAGGCATGCGATGATCTTCAACTCTACTGTGTTCCTTCGACACCACATTTGACGCCATCGAAACCCTTGATTTGCCAGCTCAACCTTTTTGCAGGTCAACTCTATTTCTCCAGTTACGAGATGTATCTCCACACTTGCAACTTCTTGGGGCTTAATGCGCCGGATTTGGGGGACGAGTACTTCATAGCCGAAAGTGATGGTTTTATCAGGAGGAGAATCGCCCTTTGGCGAGAGCATCGTGTTCGTTCAAGCGATCCCAGCTTCCCCCGCTGAAGGAGTTGTTTGGAATGAGAAGGAAAGGCACGGGGTATCTGCCAACTCACCTCGGAAAGATGTTCAATGGCCGCATTCTGACTGAGGGGGATTTTCTTGACTGAGCGCCAGGTCTGTTTAGCGTACGTTTTAACGCCCCCTTCTATCGGAGATCTGGCTAACTGCACTCTAGTCCACAGCAATTGAATCAGCACTAACCTTGATATTGCGATGTTCTGTATTTGTATGCAAATCTGAAACGCTATAACTTTTTTTGTTTGTACTATGTAGTACGAGTCAAATACTTGTAAATCAAAATATATGGAGAAGTTCACCTTGAACTTGACAACCATGTGGACGGCCCAACATGGAGTCTCAGGACCATTGAATCATTTTTTTTTGCGCTGTCACTTTCCTGTTTTCCATGAACTCTGTTTCAGTTCTCAGTCTGAACCACCTGGAACTGATCACCACGAGCTTTTAGTATGTTTGCCAGTGCTAGAGTCACTACCAACTGCACTGACTCGGACAGCTATCAGTCGATTTTCTCATTATGCGAGACGTTCAACTACCGGGTACTAGTTTTATCACAGAACACCATGACGTTCAGTTCTGTGAGGGCGGCGCGCACAGATAATTAGTGCATCAGGAAAACCCTCCCCCAGGAAATTACTCTAAACTATGATAATTCTCGGTAATCCTCTCGAATTATCTCAAATTATGGGCTTTAGAATGATTAGTTAGTTTAGAAAGACTTTTTTACTCCCTTGTATATAAAGGATAATTATCATGAATTCAAAGGCAATATCGAGAAATTCAGAGAATATATTTCGAACGTAGCATAGCGAATCGCGCACATTAGATGATATTACGAGCAAAAAAGACTAATATTTGATCAAAGGATATACATAACACAGCCACATCAGTAAACCACAACTTTCCCACAGGAAGTACAACATTTGCATTCCTGTCCAGCCAGCTACAGACTCCACAGTTCCCCAAGTTCCCAGCACACTTGTGACCACAAGGTATCCAGTTGCTCACAGTTCTATATGCCCTACAGGACTTTACACCTTACTAGTACTATACTGCCAAGTGTATTACATCCTACTAGTAGCGCTATTAGTATACTTCGATTCAATTACAATGGGTTTTAAAATTTTATCAAGTGCAAACTCAGAACCAGAAATTCAGAATTCAAACACAACCTGCGATCATCATTGCAATGACATCTATTGTACTGATATACTTAAAGTTACATTAATATATACATGCGAAAAATGCGAAAAATGCGAAAAATGCGAAAAATGCGGTAAACAGTAGTTTCGGGCAGTGTGTGATCACGGAAGGGATGAAGAAAAAAGAGAGAAAATGAAACGGACTGAGTGGGCGGTGTATGTCGACATTAATCTAGCTGGACCGTGATGTGATGACATTCGAGTGATTCTAAATATATAACATTAGCGTTGTAGCACTGTAGGGTAGTATGGAATTGTAAGAACTTACCTTGCAAAACACTCTGTGCGGGTCTGTGGTGAGAGAGACCATGTTTTTGAAATGTTATCTGCATGTGAGCTATTCCTACATCCGCCTTGGTGAGCTTCTGCTTCGAAATATTGAATTTGTGCTTGGAGAGATTTGCCAAGACTTCGTGTTTGCAGACCACACAGTCAGCAAGCACTTTCTCTGCGTTGACGACATCCCATCTTGCCCTTGCGAGGTCCAGGACAAGGTTCACTTCAAGATTATCGGCATCACTGATCATCTGTGAAAATGTTAAGGAGTATTGTTTACAACGTAAGGTATGAGTTACTTACCATTGACCTGATAGTGTTGACTATGTCATACAAGTCCGAAATACTGCTACCAGAGTGACACATAGTATTATTAAGGCTGGCATGCCAGTGAACAGGGCAACGTGAAGTTGATGGTAAATCACTGATATTCAGCTTGACTGGTGCGTTTGTTGACATGGCATGTTAGAAAAACAATTTTATTGGTTCCAAGAATGTAACTCTCACCTCTATAACTAATATGTCCAACTCATACCAGTGTCCTTCATGCAGCAAAGACAACTTCAAAGACCACAGCGCTGTTGCCTGACACATGAGTCAGCCTCACTCTGGCTGTAGTACTTGGCTACAGGATCTCATTTGTTTACATTCAGCGTCCATCTGTACCGCAGACTTGGACTCCATGGATGTCGACCATGCACTGAATATTCCTGATGTTGACCTGGAGCTTGATGGGGCTGGATTTGGAGACTGGGATGGGGTATTTCAGGGTAGAAGTGATGAGGGTGATGATCAAGTCCACGAGGAGGTGACACTGACTGACTCAGACTTCATCAACTGGCATCCCAAACCCCCTCAAACATATGGCAGGGGTCACACTTTCCTCGACTCATTTCATTCTGATGAGAACAACATGTATCACAAAGAAAATGACTATTACCCATTTAGTGGCTGGAAAGATTGGGAGGTTGCATTGTGGTTACTGCATTTGGGGTTGAGCATGGCAAAGGTCAACAGCTTTCTTTCACTTGAGATGGTCAGTTTTAGACTTATTCATTGCGTTGACTATCCTGACAAGTGTCTTGTTAAGATCAAGAGTCTTCCATTATCTTTTTGTTCAGCCAAGGAACTACATGGTCGAGCGGAAATGCTGCCTGGCAGTCCACCCTGGATGTCCCAAGTAATCCCTACTGTACATCTGACAAAATCACCTGTCATTTTGTATTGGCATGATCCCCTGGAATGTATTGTGAGCCTTTTAAATCACCCTTTCTTTCATGATTGAATGGATTTTATGCCTCGCAGGGTGTATGCTACTGTGCAGTGACTGTGCCACATATACTCTGAATGGATGACTGGTGATGACACCTGGAACATGCAGGTACATTTTTCTTTCTTTCTGCAAGTCGTTGTACTTACTTGTTTTCAAACAGTCAGCCCTCCCAAGAGGTGCAATGCTCCTTGGGACAATTTTGTCATCTGACAAGACCAATATCTCTATGATGACCAGTGACAGAGTTGCACATCCCCTCCTCATCAGCCTCGCCAATATACACATGTCTACACGACTTAAATTGTCATCTAACACCTTTGTTCTTACTGCCCTCCCTGTGCCAAAGTTTATTCACAAAAAAAAATGTATGTGAGGCGTACTTGAGGATCAGCTAATCCATGAATGCTTGAACATCGTGCTACATCCCCTCAAGCAGGCTGCTCGTGAAGGAGTTATGTTATCTGATCCTATCGGGCACAGTCGATACTGCTTCACACCGCTTGTAAGCTATATTGTTGACACTCCGGAGGCCATGATGCTGGCTACTGTCGGGGGAAAAACCTCCCCAGTCACTATGGCAATGTATAAACAGTTTGGAGACCCTTTCCACCATGAGCCTCGCACAAAATCAACTACACTTGCCCAGCTGCACGTTGCCTGAGTAAGGGCTGATCCTGACGATATTGAAGCATTCTTTTGTGAAGCTCAGAAGTTTTGTTTGAATGGTGTATCCGACCCTTTCTTTGCGGACTGGATCCTTTCTGAACCATCCCATTTTCTCACTCCTGAAACTCTCCACCACATTCATCGGGAGTTTTATGATCATGATGTGAAATGGCTCATTTGTGCAGTCGGGGATGTAGAGCTTGATTTTCGCTTTTCTGTGTTGCAGCCTGTCACGGGGTTTCACCAATTTCACAGGGGCATTTCAAAGCTCAAACAGGTCACAGGATGTGCTCAGCGTGATATCCAGCGCTCAATCATTGCAGTTAGCGCAGATGCAGCACCTAGTGCCATGATCACTGCCATCCGAGCTTTGATGGACTTTCGCTATCTCATGCAGTCACCTTGGATTGACGACAATGTTCTCAGATGCATTTCTGCAGTGCTCAATGAATTTCACACCAACAAACACACAATCATAGCTGGTGGATTTCATCACAGTCAGCATAATAGAGTCATCGATAACTGGTTTATCCCGAAGATTGAGCTTATGCAGAGTATAGTTCCAAGTATTCGAAACAGTGGAGTTATCATGCAATGGACCACTGACACTACAGAACATGCACACATCACCGAAATCAAAGATCCCACACACTCAAGCAACAATAACAATTACAATTCACAAATCTGTTGTCATCTGGACCGCGCTGATAAATGTTGTTGCTTCAACCTCGCAACAAGTCTGCTGGAAAACATCCCAGGCTCAAATCAGCGGACTACAGATCATGGTGATTCTGATTCTGATGATGTCAACTTCAATGTTGACAATGATGACAATGATGACATCCCAGCAGAACTTCTTGCGACCATCACATCTCCTGGCCATTCATGCCCCATCACCAATCACTTTGCAATTGCAAAGCTCCTCCAGGACAGGGAGGTGGGGACAGTTCCTGTGCCATTGTGCTCATTCTCTGTTGGACATACATCATTTCATCTTGCCCATGTCCCATCCATTAGATCCATTTCTGTTGACGACACAGCTCTCAAGTTTGATGTTCCAGACCTGCAACCAGCCATTGCTGACTTTCTTAGTTGCGAAGCTGCTCATGGGCAGGATTATGTTCATACTATTGGGGGGGCTAGGAGAGCTAAACCCACCACTTCACTTTCATTCAAAAAGCTCCAAGTCTGGTTCAAGTTTCGATTGCAGGATACAGATCTTCATGATATTAGTGTTGTGCGGCCTGCTCAGACCCTGAATTGTTCACCACATTCTGGTGTCTGGACTTGTGGCTGGTATGATCCGGTCATTGTAAACAACAATGCGAGATGCTCATGGCCTGCCGATGGTCTTCATGGTACGTTTTTCTCTCCTCCCATGCTTATTATTCTCATTATTAAATCTCAGGGCACACCATTGGTGAAATTAGGCTGATTCTGTGTCCTGTTGGAAAAGCTGGCACATATTGGTCATGGAAGGACCACTTCCTCACCTACATCTATCGCTTTGACATCATTCCACAAGGTGGAAGTAATCGTGAACTGAGTACTCAACTGCACATACTTAAATGAGCAAAGTGCTCAAATGGTACTTGGGTGGGTGATGTCATACCAGTTACACAGCTCAGGGCACCTGTCAACCTTGTACCTTGCTTTGGTGCAAGTGCGGACAATTGTCTCACCCAATGTAACAGTATGGAACATGCTTCAGAATTTTGGCTCAATAAATATTGGGACAAAAACAAATTCTTCCCTCTTTCCATGTAGCTTTCACAGATTGGTTTTTTTTTAACTCATGTATACTAGTAAGATAATTGCTTTGGGTGAGAAGCCATTTTATTATTAGTTCTTGGAATGCTGCGCTTTGAGGCGCATGATAGTACTGTCTGAAATGATCCCACCATTGTCATACTAGTGCAAACCAGACAAAAAATGGCTTCCTTTTTCAGGACAGTTGACAATGGAATCAAACTTTCCTCCTTGTTGTCCATCCCTGATGTCAGTGATGTCCATACCATGAATAAAATCACTTCTGATGAACTCAATTGTTTGGTTATGCACAAGGACGCACCAGAGGCATCGCAACTGCTGGGGCACTTGCTGTCTCATATTTTTAAACCTTTCAAGGTCCCTCTCCCTCATGTATCTGAACTCCAAATTCCTCTAAAAAAAATCATCCATCCCAATGAACATGTCAGATTGCAATATCATGGTTTATTGCCAGATTCTCTTGTGCCACTATACAACATTGAAACGAGTACTTGGAACTGGGATCTTCCAGTTAATCCCCCTGGAGGTGGCTCGGACTCAGACGCTAGTGGTGGTAGTAGCCATGGTGCTCCGGTGAGTCAGGACCCAGAGGTTGCAGACAGTGCAACTTACGAAGAAATTTTTGCATCCTTTATGAATGCTCTTGCTGGCTGTTTATCAGCATCACAACCCCTCCTAGAACACGAGTGTTATGCAACTCGCACATGGAGCGCAGCCAATGCTCACAAGGCATTGCCCGGGAGTGAGATAAAGTGCAAACCTGACCTTGTTCTATCTGATAACATCACAGCAAAGTGGGGAAATATCAGGGTATCCGGTGAGCTGATACATAGTCCATACAAGCCTGTGATGTGGCTTGGGAAGGCTGCAGACACCCATGCCTACCTCATGATGAGCGAACAGCCCTGGAGGCGCTTTGCACTCATATTATCATTCACTAATGCCTATCATCATCTCCAAGTCCTCCTGTATGATCACTCTGGTGGCATGGTATCTACCCGCTTTGACATATATCAGCAGCCTGACTTATTTTCTCATATAATCGCTGTTATCAATTTTGGTAATCTAGAATGTGTTGGGTATGATTCAACAGTTTCGTTCACAAAACTTGTTTCGCCACCCCCCTCCAAAAATATCCATGAATATTGCCAAATCAAGAACATACCCTGATGTAGCAGTTCAGCAGACCCTGCCACATCCACTTCTGAATCCCTTGATGAACTGGGCTCTTGGGACCCATCCTCTGATGATGATCTTGAGTCTGTGGTCTCTGATGACTCTGGCTCTGAGGAACACTTAACTGACTCAGAGGACACACCTGAAGGAAATTCAATTGAATCTACTATGCAAACGGAAGAATTCCCCCCATCCCTCCCTCCAGTGCAATCCACTATGGTGTCCAGTGCCCCCCTCCTCAGCCTCGCATCCCAAATTCCCCAGGACTTGACAGAGAGTATATCTTCCATCACACCTCATCCTTCCCAATTTCCCTACTCTGTGCACTCACCTGAACCTTGTGGCAAGATCTGTGTAGGGGATGATGTGTACATTATCAAGTGAATTCTTTCTGCAAGCCAGGGGCTTGTTGGTTGTGGATGTATCTGCTATCTGGCCAGTCTGGGTGATGAAGATTTTATCATCAAGGACCATTGGATTCTCGGCAAGCGGGAAGATGTCATTTTGAATGAGATAGAGATGTTGAAATTAATGCAAGGTGTCCCTGGCGTTCCCGAGTTAGTAGATTATTGGCTTGTCATGACATCAGAAGGCGAGGTTGACGTCACTCGAAGTTATCACAAAAGGGAATGCTGGAGTACCAAGGGCACCAGTCGCACTCATGTCTGCCTTGTCCTAAAGCCATGTGCTCGCCCCCTCCACATGTTTCAAACACTGAAAGAGTTTGTGAGAGCATTAAGGGACATTGTGATCAGTGAGTGTCTACTAGTTGAGTTGTGTAAGAGCATTGAACTGATGTCTCTTCTTGTAGTCCAGAGAATGGTGGTGGAGGAGCGCGGGATCCTGCATTGCAATTGTAGTCTGAATAATGCGATGATCCTGGATGATCTAGACCTCAGCAAGGGGTTCCTTATTGACTAGGAATTTGCAGTATGCATTGCTGTGGACAATAAATATTCCATCAGTGGTACAGTAAGTATATTCATTTCATATCGAGTTTCAAATATTGATTCATTTTCCAGGGCACGGTCCCCTTCATGTCACACATGCTTCTCAGCCAGGTTTCGCTTTTGCAGCAACAGGTGGTTGCAGACGCTGAGCAGAAAAAGCTGATGAAAGCAAACAAATTGAAATTGAAATTGAAATCAAAGAATGCTCCTGCCCTGAAAACACCAAAAACCTCCTCAGATTCTTTAGCGCTGCCCATTTCTCATGTGGTCCAAGGTTACTCCGATGATCTTGAATCTCTTTTCTTCATATTCACTTGGGTTTGCATCAAGTTCTGCAGTCCCAATGGCATGGTCCGTCAGGAGCGCATGCCCAATTCCTTACTTGATCGCTGGACCAGCCTTGACCTGGCATTGTGTGCTGTCTTCAAGATCACCTTTTTCGCGAATCCATTGGATGAACAGCATCTCATAAACAAATTTCACCCATACTTCAAACCCCTCATCCCCCTTGCAAAGGATTGGTGTGCAGCATTGAAGGATAACATGGTTAACCCTGTTACCTTTGATGCCATTCTTCACATACTCAACTCTCATCTTGAGGAGCTTTCCAATGATGAGGAGCTCCAATCCACTGTGACAATGCTCAAGAAAACTGCCACCGCTCTTAATGGCTTGAAACATGTTGCTTCACTGTCTTTGCCCATACTGAAGTGGAGGAAGTCGGATGACTCACTGGAGACATCCAAACAGGTGTAACATATTGCATATCACATGCATTTTCTTATTAGTAGTTATCACACTGACTTGGATGGGTGTCACATATTTCCTGACATGTATATGACTACTTGTAGATCTACTCTGAGTCATGTACAACTGACATCGATATTGTTTGCCTTATAGTTTATGTTTTGCTTACATAATGATATGTTGACTTGGATATGTGATGCCAACAGCACACTTACAAATTGATTGCATGTAATAACACAGCTGTGCATTGACTTGAAGGCGTGAATTTTATGTCTTTCTATCGGTGCATAGTCTTTGATTACCTCCATCAGCGCTGCATCCTGCATACAGTTGAGGCGAATACTGTAGCAGTACTCCGATAAGCATCACAATAACCGTCAAGGCTATACAAGTCCTTCCACCAAGATTTGTATAAAATGGTGAGTCTGATTTGTAAATTACCTGTCTTGCTGCTTTCTTTATTGCAACATGCCTCCTCGTGCAGTAGCCAGTCCCAAGAAGAAAAGGTCCAAGCGCAAAGCTTCTGACGCTTCAAAGGCTAGCTTACCAAAGAAGCCCTGTGCAGCAAACCCCGTCGAAATTCCTAGCATGCCAGTTGTATCTCTTGGTCTTACCAAAGTTGATGTAGTGGACACTGCTCCTTGATGTTCTGGCTGCCCCAATGTGGGAACAGGGGGTAGGAATGCCCAGCTGGAGAAAATTGGGGTAGTGTTAGAGGCTCAGTCCCAGAATTGGAAACCCAAGGGCACCACATCTCTTGGTATGGTCAATCCTGTGAACCCTCAGGCTCCAGAACCACATCATAAAGGCTGAAAGAATTGTCAGAAGGTATAACACACAGTCTTTGTTGTCAGTGGTGTTGATTGTGTGTTGAGGTGCTCCCCCTGCCATACAGTCCTGACCCCTCGGACTTCAGTGCCAGCCCCCAGGTGCCTCATTTTTTATTGCAGCAAAATGGCGGGAGGTTTGGTTTTGCGGCTTCAACCACCACTCATGTTGTCCCTCCTGGCGGGGAGCCCAATCCTCAAGTCTTGAATAACCCATATCTTGAGCAGCGCAATCAGAATACTTTCACTGATCACTCCCACAGTTCACAACCTCAAACAACTGCTACCTTGTCAGATTACAATATAGACCTGGCCCTGCGTGAGGAGGGTGATGTCGCTAGGCAAGGACTTCATGCAAGGCTGGTAGGATCCAATCTGGAGGACAGTGACTCTAGTGGTAGTGGTACCAACACTGACATTGACAAAGATGAGGATGAAGAGGGTGAGGATGAGGGCAAGGGCAAGGATGAGGATGAGGACAAAGGAGATGAAGGAGAGAATAATGAATCCCAGTTTGGTTGGGGGGAAGCTCACCAACGGCAGAAGGGACATCCAGGTAAGAATTTCATGTTAGGAGTACCCTCACTGACTCAATTTACAGGATTTTCAGCTGAAGGACTCCCTACTCAGGTTCGAGTTGCTCGCCCTCTGACACCAGACTTCGAATTTCAATACTCATGCGATGAAGATGAAGACTCTGCCTGGATGCATCTCAACAACAGCAACCAGGTATTATTTTCATTATTCATTTGCATCATGCTCACAGTTTCTCACCTTTTAAGCCTCTGGGCACCTTACCAGGAGTGCAGCAGGAACAATCAGATCCTCAGGTGAGAGAGTAGTTCTGTTTTAGATGAGGCTCACGATATTTCAAAGACTAACACCTCAAAGGCCGAGGATGTATTGAAGCGCCACCATAAGAAAAATGGTCAGCCTCACCTTCCTGACCCTGAAATGCTCCAGCTGTTGAATCAAGTGGCGGAGTCTGTCGACCAAGTTCAGTGCTGGTCAAAATCCAAGAAACCCAAGGGATCTGACAGGCTGAGGCCTGATCAACTGGCTTGGTATGGACCATGCTGGAAAAGTTTTCTCAAGGAGGCCAAAGGAGAGTGTCATGGGCAGCATGCCCTGGAAAACCCATTCCCACCTTTAGTCAAGGAGATGCCAGGAACCATCTCTGAGGTTCTACTTTCAGTTCTGGTTGCATGGGACAAGAATGGTAGACAGTTTGAAGCTGGTACATACTTGTTTGTTCCTGAACTAATATCCCAAACTAATCTGTTTCATATCATGATGCAGGGGTCTGGCCAGAGCAGCAATATAACATGACACAATTGGTGTGTGGTTTACTTACATTCATAATTCCTTGTTGATGCATCTCACATTTGTACTACAGTTGTATGACGACCTGTAAACTTGGCGGTCTGATCTGAAGAAGACTGCAATAAACATTGCACCGCTATCATACTCGCTTTTGCCTCCGCCTTCGGTTCCTCCTCAACAATGTGCAACTTGGGTCGAAAACACTGCTAAAAATTTACTCCAGGGTGGTTTGTATTTACAGTTTGGAATAGACAAGAATGTAAGTGATTTTGCACTAAATATACCCATACTCATGGCAAGATCAACAGGGGCAAATGAGGAACTTTGCTAATCCTGCCCTCCGTGATGCATCCATTGCTTTTTTTTACACAGGACCTTACCAGATTGCATGGAGGTGGTGAAGGTACAACAGCTCTGCTAGCTTGCAGAGCAAAAGAAAGAAAGAGGGCTCTACCTCTGGGGTGAGAGGAAGGCTACTGACTCTCTTTGTGTTGGTCAAAGTGTGCCAGGCGATATGTTTGACCCTTAAGGGAAGCAAGGAAAGCAAATCCATGAAGTGATGCCAGATCAACTCTGGTGAAGCGTGCTGAAAGCATGTGTGTGGGAATGTCGAGCACGTAGGTGCACGAAGCGTGGGAATAGCGTGCAAGCTGGTGCACAGACATGTAAAGACTGGTGAATGATGACTGGTGATAATGGACTGTTGCTGGTGACTAGGGCAACAACTGAAGCATGTTGACTGAAGATAATGATTCTAACTCTGAGATACTAAGTGACTGCCATGATGGTTGGTGTATATTCTGGTGGTGGTAGGTTGTATGAAAACTTCCTAGGCCACAGGTAAGCTGTGCCTAGGCATGCTCCCAGGGCTCGGAAGCGAATAGGAAGCGCTCTAAGTATGTAAATGATGTAAATAAAGGGTCTATGATGAAATAAGATATGGTACAATGCTAAATATGAGAATAAACAAAAAGGGATGCACCAGGGGACTGGTTGGACAATGGATGGATGTGCTGGGACACTGCGCAACAATGTGCGACTGAGCATGGGAAGAGTGCGCTAAGTGCGTGCATGGGAATGTGTCATGTAATGTGGGAAAGTGTCATGCCTCTGGTGTGTTTCACGGGAAAGTCATAGATGGTGAGTCATACACTATACCAATTGTCATGAGTTGTAATATGGGCGATATATGCCTAGAGGAATCTCATTCCCTACAGCGGCCAGATCATTTTCGCACACAATTGCCAATATCATGCTTAGCCTTAGTTGCCACAGTGGTGACGTGTTCTCCTCCCCTTAATGCCATGCTCATGTACTGATTTTTCTATCTATAGTTCCACTGTGTCTTTGACAGTCTTGAGAAGAATGGTAATGGTAAACGTTATCCAAATTTCTCCTCAAAGGAATACTCACCAATCTACTGGAAAATTCTCAACATCATCAAAAATACCCTCAAGGATGAATATCATGGCCCTAGATTGTCAGCACAACTTCGAGAATGGGCCAAAGCCAGATGGTAAGTTCTTTTCATATGAAAAACCTCAACTGATTTCATTCATACAGGGCCAAAAATCTCAAGCTCAACGGCAGTGCTATGGAGGCGAGACATGACCACCTCCAGGTTATTCTGGACTAAATCTTTGTATTCTGCACTCTTCACTTACCCTGTAGTCACATTTCTTTTGATTCGTCATTTACTACTACTGTTATGTGCTTTCGTGTTTCCATGATCCAAGATTCAATATATGTCATTTGTGGCTATGCTACTGTATTGAGTGAAAAAATATGTACAACAAGCAATGTCTGCACAACTCCCATTTTCTGAGTGGTCTGTGAGTGTCTGTACAGCCATAGACAGAGGAAACCAGCACTATTTAGTCCTCACTGGGTGTGTCTATGGGCATCTGTACAGGGATTGACAGAAAGGTCTGCTACTGTAGTGAGCTAGGTAGTAGGGACCAAGCTATACGGCTGGGATGCTGTACAGAACATTATAGTTTACTGATGCAACTTGGAGGACTAGGCAAATTAAGGTGTGATACACGAATCTGGGATGTTTACAGGTATAGATCAGCATGAATACAGGACCTAATCATCTGCCATTCCATCCAGGTCGAGTAGCCCCAGTGCATCTTGATGCTCATTAATGAAATGATCATTCCCCTTTCATTTCAAGGTCCTTTGTCATATCCTGTATGCCAGACATAGATCCCATCATATTCCCACGCTTTCCGGACCTGTTTCCGGACCCCATATCCAACTCATTCCTGGATCCCCTATCCTGTCCACCCTACGCACATTCCGTCCAGCAAGACATCCGGACTTTACCTCCTCTTGGATTCTGGACTACATCCACCACCTCACATATCTCAGTCCTGTTTCCGCCCTGCCTTCCGGATCCCCAGATCTCCGGACCTATTCCCACCCTCTGTCTGAGATCCTGCGCCTATCCCCATTTAGGCATCTCCCCTTTCTGGTTCTCGGTTATCTCTGTTTCTGTCTTGCTGATTGATCCTTGTACTAGTTTCATCTCCAAGTTCATTTACATATGTTCCATCTTGGTTACCAATGTGTTTCTGCATGCTCGTACATAGCCTTACTCCTTTGCTTACTGATCCTCTCAGATAGCCTCTAGTATATAACCCCTGTACAACTACAGTAGAGTCCTCAGTCTGAATATCATCTGAGTTCCTGCTCTCTCATCTTAGTTCCTGCTCATTCCTGTGTCCTCTGGACTTGAGATAAGTCTCTTGTCATATTCTGAGTCTTAGGATTGCATCCTAGACTACATTTCCGACTCTACCTTAAGGGTAGTCCATCCCCTGTTAGTTTCTAGTCTGGACTTTGTCTGGATTAGTCTTATCCGCTTGCCCAGGTAATATCTGGACGTCCATTATCCACCCTAGTCAAATCCCAGAAACTCTGGACGACTGTTCTAGCCCCCAGAAATTAAGGGCACATACTCGGGAAAGGGGCACAGTGTACGAGCTGAGGCCAAGCCCTTGTGATCTGACCCCCTTGAGCACGCGACCTTAACATCCTTCAAGTAGCAGAGTCAGTATCCAAGTTGAAACGGCACCATGAATACCTGTAAAACTTACTGTACAGCTTCATAAATATCAGCCATCATGCAATGAAACTTTCCTGGTGCATCCCGCTTCAAGTCCTCAAGGAACTTGACATGAAACACATACGTCTCACTGAATTGATTCCCTGTTAAGTTAAACTTCCCTGGTGAGCCAAGTCTCTTCCAGAAAAGGGCTGCATAGACCTGTAAAATGAATCAATATAGCACAGAGATTGGTAGAAAGGATGGTACCACTGTTGCCACAAGTGTGAGTAATGGAATGGGGCATTCAGGACGATTGCCCTTGTTATTTGCCAGTTTGGCAAAGTGCTTGACAAACTTGATGCCGATAGACTTTGCACCACTGAAGACTGCCTCATATATGAGAAAGATCAGCAGGTCACCCTGGTAGGGTGTTTTGCCTATGGGTAAAGCATCATCATTCAACTGTTGATGAAGAATGTTAGTCAGAGGCTAGCAGCGAAGACTGAAGGACAAATTTACTTACATCAAACTTCAATGCATAGATATATGCATGCTGCTCCATCAATTTCTTTGCCTTGACCACATTATTGCTGAGCCGAAAGTAAGTATCAATGTTGGTGCACATGGCAACTTTAAGGTCACGGCACAATAATGGAATGCGTGGCTCCACCTCAAGTAATGAAAGATAGTTAAAACATAAGAAAAATTGAGACATGCAAAGGGCTTACTAAACTAGCAAGGTGAGCAGCATACTGTGCATCAGTTTGAAGACATTCTTTAATGGCGTGTACACTGCAATTCCCAGCCACTGTTAGTAGAGACTGCAGTGCAACTTGGTTTTTGTCAACTAGCTCAGGATAAGCCAGCCCATGATGCTATATAGATATATCTTAAGTGGACTATAGTCCTAAAAGTCCAATACATACTCTTCTGTTGTCATCCATTGTCTAACAGGATGTATCCTACATGAGAATTGTGCTGGCAGCTTTCCATGCTTACAAATCACCGCTTTATGGGGGGTTGAATGCTCCATATGGATATTTGGCAGTTCACCCTCATTTACACCCTGCCATCCCTCATTCTCCTTGATGGGATCAGCAGCTGGTGATAGGATCTGATGATGGACTTGCTTCTTGTACCTGCCAAGAAGGAACATGGCTGATGGCACTGGGACTTGCATTTGAAAATGCATTCTTCAACTGTGAGAATGAACTGAATGGGCCCTACAGTATGTTCCAAACCCACACAATCCCATGTACAAAATTTATCCTTGCTGCACTATTGGGAGACACAAGCAACAATTCTACTACAAGTATCTTTGGTAAGCTTGTTGTTTTATAGGCATTGCTGGACATACACTGATAACGTTCAAAACAGTGAGGTGTGCCATGTCACTCCTTCGAATGATACATTCAATTTACTGTAATTCATCCCAATGATAATCAAGTTCTGCATGGTCCCTGTGCAGCTGAATTTCAACATCCTCATGTCTCTGGCTCAGCGGTGTGTTTCATCTAACACTTATGATCTTTCCTAAGGTGCTCACAGCCTTGCTTCCAGTGCTCCACTCATTCTCACCTTCATGGTGTCCCAGATCAACTTGTCATTATTTGTCCTGGCGGCTCTTTTTGGTTTGGGCATTCGAATGCATTCTGAGCTAGAACTGAACCCACATTCACAAGGGTCTGGTCCAATGTTTGCACTCCAGAGCATCAGACAGAAGCCTTTGTCCTAGTAACCCTTAGTACTATCACACCACACATTATCTTCACAAATATAACAATTCAATTAAAATTAGAACTAAATTTCAACTACAGTTTTGTGTCAACATTAACCAGTGCAAGACATGAAAATAAGCAGTATGAAATGGAACACAAGAACATGGACCAAAGAAAGCAAGCACAGGAAGAACCTGAGCAGCAGACGGTATTGAGCTCACACCCTTGGTCTTCTGTGCGAGATAATGAGCATAAGAGGTTTTAAAAACAAAAAGAGACTAACTTTGCTTGCTGACCTGCACGAGTGGATGAATCAGTGGCATGGGTGTGTTTTGAAGCCGGGTTCAAGGATACATTCTCCCTGCAATTGTTGCTGACCGAGTTGGCAATGATATTGCATGTCGATGGGATGTGTGTGTGCCTTGTTCTGCGGGGTCCGCTGCTGTCATTCCCTTTGTTGTTTTGAGCCTCATCCACTTGAGGCTCATTGACGATGTTTGCTGAAGTGGAAGTGTGAGATGGTGAAGGTTCAACAGCTCTGCTAGGCTGCAGAGCAAAAGAAAGACAGAAGGCCTCTACCCCTGGGGTGAGAGGAATGCTACTGACTCTCCAGATGTTGGTCAAAGTGCGCCAAGTGATGTGTTCGACCCTTAAGGGAAGCAAAGAAAGCAAGGATCCACTGGGTGACACCAGGTCAACTCTGGTGAAGTGCGCTGGGAGCACGCATGCAGGAATGTCGTGCACATAAGGGCGCGAAGCATGGGAATAGAGTGCATGTGGTGTGCAAATGTGTAAAAGACTGAAAGATGGCATGAAGACGTGAACTGAGGCTGCTGAGTGGAGGGACTGATGATAATTGACTACTGCTGATGACTAGGGCAATGACTGAAGCATGCTGACTGAGGATGATGATTCTCACTATGAGATACTAAGTGACATGATGGTGGTTCTGTATCTATGGTGGTGGTAGGTGTATGAAAACTTTCTCCAGGCCACAGGTAAGCTGTGCCTAGGCGCGCTCCCAGGGCTCGGAAGCGAACAGGGAGCGCTCTATGTATGTAAGTGATGTAAGGACAGGGTCCATGACGAAATATAGTGTCATATAATGCTAAATATGGTCTGATAGTGAGAATAAATGAGAAAGGACTCACTAGGGAACTGGTTGGACGATGGATGGATGCTCTGGGATGCTGCACAACAAAGGGTAACTGAGTGCAGGAAGAGTGCACTAAGTGTGTGCGTGGGAATGCATCGCATAGTGCAGGAAAGCATCGCGCCTCTGGCGCGTTTTGTGGGAAAGTCATGGGTAGTGAGTTGTACACTGTACCAATCATCATGAGTTGTAATATGGGCGATATACACCTAGAGGAATCTTGTTCCCTACAACAGGATGGGTGAGGGACGCGAGTCCTCTGTAGAATCTTCTGCCATTGAAGATGCAGGGAGTGCATCTGGCCTGTTGCTGTTGGGCTCTTCTGCATTTCCAGGGAGGTGAGTAGTTGGGTGCGTGAATCCACTAGGGACTGAGTCAGCTGAGGGTGAATGTTGTCAAAGCTGGAGGGCTGCAATGCTGGAGAGGTCAATATGGGAGACCCAGGGCCATTTGACAAAGGCAGAAACTCAGATACATCTGGGTCATGTGACAAAGAAGGAAAGTCGGATAAATCCAGTGATCCAAACATGTTTGTCAAAGATGTATCCTGCTTGGACAACTCATCCATCATATCCGATGCACGATATGATGGCCAATTCTCGTTGTATAAGCTCTCTCCCTACAATGAACTGGAGCTGCTAGCTCCTCCCATCTTCTGATCTTTGAGTGCTGTGGCTTCCGCTGTTATCACAATGGTAAGCTTTTTTGTACAAGGTGTTATGGTTGGTCAGAGATGACACTTACGGTACACACGATACAGATAATCATGAAACAGTCCCACTACCTCACTCTCAAATTTAGGGTAAGCCTGGCTAAAATTATTTCCCAGCTTTGTCATCCCAACATGGAAGCTGCCCAGTGTAAGTTTGACCCTCGAGTTTTTGAGTTTCTAATGCAGAACATACCTCCAGACATCAATCATCCCACCTAACTTGACAGATGGACCCCCAATGAGAAGGCTGAAGGATAGGCCAGTGGCATCAGTGAGGCCTTTCAGAAATTGATTTGCAATGGTGGCTAGCTTCATGAGATTTCTTTGTGCATGTCAGCTGATAATACTATGCAGTGAACCCAAGCAGCACACACCGCTGCTGATCTTCGTCACTCCAAAGCTCAGCTTTTTCCTTACTGTGCCCTTGCTTCTGCACATGGATATACTCCTTCACTTTAGCCTTGATCTCCTCAGACTCGCCAGCATACAGGGCCATGGTTTCTTTTTTCACAAGTGCTACTCACTGACCATTTGTGAGTGATTGTGTTGCTTGTGCAACCTTGAGCATCTCTTGGATGGATTTCTGAACACAGTCAGCATAGTACAACTTGGAATATGCTTCCTGTTCCTGAAGCATTCGCATAGGTTTTTCACATTTGGTTATTTTGCGCACAACAGCATCAAAGATGCCATTTGCATTGGCTTTTACTTGTTGCCCCACCTTCGACCTGCTGAAGTTATTCTTGAATCATGTATGTAATTTCTATCAAATATTCTCAGTGTCACATCTTTGACTATTTCAATGAAACTTATGGCTTTCTGTATGTCAGTTGCATTATCGTGTTCTTCCAGTGTTAATGGCCCCAATTTGGTGATATGATCTGGCTGAGGCTCTGGAAATGCTTCGAACCATTTTTCATAAAGGTCTGCAAAGAAGTTTTTGTGGTTTCTACTCTTGTCACTCTGCTTTTTGGTGAATTTTTGGTACCACAGTTCAAGCCACACCTCCTGCTCGGATGTTGTCCATTTATGAGGGGCCATCTATTTTCATAGTTTAGACATTCAGTCATGTCAGCAGAGGATTAGATACATACATTAATGTTAATTGATCTGTTGATTTACAAAGACTGGGTGTTTAGGCTGCAGTAAGTGAAATGAATATTGAAATGTAGTGTAAAAATTGAGATCAATGTCCCATGCACGGACACTGTCATACTCATACAGCTACACTACATCACAATCGAGAAGCACTACTAAGTAAATAGATCATGTAACAGCAGGGATTTCCTAAAGACTCTGAAACAGGAGTTTTTTTTGTGTGTATCACTGTCCAAGATCCATGTCTGGGACCATCACACAGGAGAATAAATCCTTGAGGGCCAATAGTACATCTGCAGCCTGTTTAGAGTCATCCTGAGCACTAGTATACCTTCTATCTGTGGCTCTCCCTCCTGACATACTATCTTTGATCTCTTTGAGCTCCTGTAAAATCTCCTGAACAATGCCCAGTACATCATGAATGTCATCCGAGCAGTGTGTCTCCAGATAGCAGGTATACAGTGCATCAAGTGTTTCGTGAGGGGGACCACCTAAGTAGGTTATTAGGCGATTTTTTTTCCTGTACATCCAAGTGTTCATCAGAAAATGTCAATCAGTACAAGGAGCACATCACCAACAAGCAGCATCTGGACACCACTGGCTTGGTTTGCTTCAGTGTCATCAATGTCTTATCAGACACAGGATTCCTAGTATTTATTATGATAATTGGATAGCGAGAATGCGAGAGATGAACTTACTGCGCACAATATCTTGCTTTCATTTTTGTACTGATTTTATTCTTGTGTCTGGTGTGAAATGAAAGTCTGTTAAAAACTCCAATACCAATAAAATGACTTCACACCATGTATAGTACACCTGTCTGTGCACTCATTTTGCTTCCTGGAGCTCTTCAGTGGTTTTGTAAAGCTTCGGTCTACCCATATCTGATGTAGTGATTGTGGTTGGTGTTGTAAGGGAGTTTGGTATTTGGTAGAGAAAGCTCGAGAATCACTCACACTGTATTTGGTTTGTGTTCCATTGGACTTTTATAGGTCTTTTACTAGTATGTACCAACCGCAATGCGGTTGGTACATACTAGTAAAAGATCTTTAGCTTGAATTTACATTGGCTTCCTGCTTATCGCATGATGTAGTAGATATGGACTTTAGTTTTATTGCTTTGTAACATTGTAAAATTAGCATTACACCATATACTACACAAGTCACTGTTCTCTAAGATGAGCACAAACAAAATCTGTTAAATCTGGCACAGGGTATACACACTGTCTATCGGCAGTTCCACAACAACCCAAACACCCATACATAGAATGAGCGTGTCTTGGATATAGCCATGCCCAGCTCAGCCACTGTTTTAAGATCTACAAACACAGTCAGTATAACACTGAGAGACTTTAGTATAGACACTTACTTCTTTGCATTCCTTTTTGGCTAAGCACAGCTCCACCTTCTCATCTTCACTCAATGCATGCTGCTCCATAGGATGATCAGGCCACAGAACATCTTCCTCAGGCCAATTCTCTAACCACTCCCTGTGCATCAGCATCAAGTACACAGCTTCTTCGCTACATGGCATCACTTGGTATTTTGTCAAGTGAGGCATCAGCCATGTATGCTGTTCCTGTGTGGGCTGCCACCTCTTGGACAACTAGGAATTGCTATGAGCTCTGGCCTGAATATCAACACTCAACTCGGACTGCATACCTTGATCCATGATTATGGGAGGAATGTGCAAGCAGAGTTGTATTGCTGCGATATCTTAGGTCAGTTTCAATCATCCATTGCGATATATCATTTAACGAGCTTCTAGGATTCACCCATAGTGCATATGGTATGTATGTTGGCATATGTGTCACTAGATGTATCACTAATCTACCTAGTAGTGAAATTTAATGTGTTGATGCTTAGAGAGCCAGCATTGGCCATGTCACAGTCTGGACGCACTGGCCATCCATCTAAACATCCCAAACTCATCAGGCATACACAGCCAGACACCACCCAGCCCTCAAATCATGTCAACAGGCATTGCATGTTCAGTTTGTTATGAACTAGGGTAGTTGTAACAACAGCAGCTTGATAAGAGCGATGGCTGATGTCATGATCAGGACCTTGCAAATACAAGGATCATAAGACAAGGCAAGAGAGAGTGTCTCTGACTTGAATATTGGTCTTTAGATGACTTAGGATTGGAGGTCCTAAGTGAAAGATGTTTCAGGTAAAACCTAGTAAGATTAAAGTAAAGAACTACTGAGTACATTGTTGAATATATATATAGTTGTAGATGATTTAGGGCAGGCATGAGTCAACAATGAGTCAGAGATAAGGAATGAGTCATCTAACAATGGCAGCAGCAATCGTAATGTAATACAAATGAGTCAAAGATGAGTCTAGCAGTGGCAATGTGCGGCTCGTGATGTAATACAGATGAGTAAGAAAAGGAAAATGAATAGGGGTGTCCATGACTGTAACACAGTTTGCAGCCTAGTGGTCAACTTGCACTTCGGACTTCTTACATTCCTGCCACCCTACCTGAGAAGGAGGATGAAAACGCTGTGGACACTGATGCTGGCCCTACCATTCCCACTGAAGATGATCCTTGGAATGAGATGGTGCCCTTCAACTCTTCATCTGAGGTGGACAATGTCCTTGGAGCGCCTGAGATGCCAATGGCTGAAAAGAGACACAGGAGAACTGCAGGAGTAAGTCTTCAGTGTTAGTATGAAGATAATGCCATAGTTGATCTTACATAGGACACTCCCATCTCCTCTTGGCTGCCAGAACGTCAGACATACATGAATGAGTTTCTATGACTTGAAGGAAGAGGCCAGGATTCAGACACCCTATATGCATGTGGTGCAGAGGATGCTGTGTTTTGATGTCAGGATTTTTTCTCTCTTGAGCTTGCATGTTGGTCATGCACCATAACTCCCCACTCTATAGAATCAAGGTGCATGGTCCTTTGATCCTCCAATTCTAACTTTAACAACGAGAAATAGGAATGGAGGGGCAGATTTTTCCACCCTGTTTCATTGAAATCCATGGGCCTGCACATTCAACTTGGACACCCTCCTGGTATCACTTGTCGCAGACTGACACCAGCATTTGGTGATGACTTCATGATTATCGATGTCCATGGTGTGCATCCAACAGGACTTGATTTTTGTGGATGCAAGCAGGAAGTTTCACACTTCAAACAACTACTCCATGCGCGCTTATTCCCTTCCATGGTGACTGACCCAAGAACAGCAGCAACATTTGCTGTTTTGGAGTTCTTTCACATACTCTCCTTCGAGTCTAAAGTGTCTGCATATGAGTTTTATCATAGCTTGGCACAGCGGACTGACAATACAGGAATCACGCCAATTCACATAGATTCATTTTCTAACATCATGTATTCAGATATACTTACACAAAAGATCAGGATCACTACTCAGTATTTCTAAGGATAGTCCATGAGTGGAGAAACATCAAAGCACTCAAATGTTCAGGTCATGGCCACCATCCTGCCAGAATAGGTTCCACTCAAGATGGAGATCTGGCCATTCTCTGCCCTGCATGCCCGCATCCTGGAAAAAACCTCCCTACTAACTGGGAAACTTCACCTCCAAGTCAGCAGTGCACAAGTTCCCTTATCAGAACACAATGAATTGACTGATGAATAGCTAGATGGAAGTATGCACTCTTTCTTGCTATAGATGCCAACTTTCAACTCAAGCACCGGATGGTATCAACCAATCAAAAAGATCCTGGCCTTAGCTGAGGATGGGGTTATTTTGTCAAAGAGAATGAATATAAGCGGTGTGATGATCATACCGGTGCTAGGTGTGTATGATCAATAGCATGGTTCTTCTCACCTTCAGAAAAGGAGATAAAGCACAGATCATTAAATCCATATATATTGACCCATCCACTCCTACTCCAGTCTGGTCCTAGGAATCCACCCTCCCATGTCCTATCCATGTCCACCTATCTCTGCTGGTGCATTATTTATCCCAAATGTCATTGCTAAACAAGCTGCAGGTCTTATTACACAACTACTCACATTCCGCAGTGCATGATGTTTTATTACCTATAGATTCATTGCGCTGAAGGTTCAACAACTCTGCTAGGCTGCAGAGCTAAAGAAAGAAAGAGGGCTCTAACTCTGGGGTGAGAGGAAGGCCTACTGACTCTCTAAATGTTGGTTGAAGTGCACCGAGTGATGTGTTCAACCCTTAAGGGAAGCAAGGAAAGCAAGATCCACTGGGTGATGCCAGATCAACTCTGGTGAAACGCGTGCATGGGAATAGAGTGTGTGTGGTGCGTGCAGATGTATAAAGACTGAAGAATGGCGTGAAGACATGAGCTGAGGCTGCTGAGTGATGACTGGTGATGATAATGGACTGATGCTGAGGACTAGGGCGATGACTCTGATGGATGCTAACTCATGGTGATTCTGACTGCTAGACACTACTAGACATGATGGTGGTTTGTGTCTTGTATGGTGGTGGTAGGTGTATGAAAACTTCATAGGCCACAGGTAAGCTGTGCCTAGGTGTGCTCCCAGGGCTCGGAAGCGAATAGGGAGCGCTCTAAGTATGTAAATGATGTAAATAAGGGTCCATGATGAAATAATGTATCATACTATGCCAGACATGAGAATAAATGGAAAAGGACACACCAGGGGACTGGTTGGATGATGGATGGACACTCTGAGATGCTGCGCAACAATAGGTGACTGAGTGTGGGAAGAGCGCACTAAGTGTGTGCACGAGAATGCAGGAAAGTGTCACACCTCTGGTGCATTTCACAGGAAAGTCATAGATAGTGAGTTGCACACTATACCAATCATTGTGAGTCAAAATATGTGTGATATATGCCTAGAGGATTCTCGTTCCCTACAGTGCACTCGCTAACTATGCTACAATTCTCACCTACACATTCCAGACATTCGTGTGCTACGATATAAACGACCAAAGTACATACGATTGAGGAGTTTTTCTTCCCCTGGGAATCAGCTCTATAGGAGAGTTGTTCTCACATTATTTTTGTAGACCTTGCACTATCCATCTATTTTGCTCCTTCTTGACAATCCTGCACAATTCGACCATTCTGAAGTCCATACCACTAGGATCTTACCCTTAAAGCTCTTGCAAGAATACTCAACCCGTGACTGGTAGTTTAGTGCTGTTCTTCACTTGCGCTATATCCCTTGCGACCAGCCACTCCATAGAGCATGGTTGATTTTTATTAACATCAGTTGGTTTTTGCCTGTGCTCCCAGTTGATTCCTTGGTATAGGAATTCAGAGGTATACCTACGGCCAGCATTCAAGTTTCTTAGGCCGATATAGATTATAACTCCTTCGCTCACTTACTTCCCTCACACATAATTGAAGGAAGTGCTTCAATAGCAGTCCTCTTGGGCCGATCAATTAAACTCGCACCTCTTAGGATAAGTAGTGCTAGTTGCTAACCGCCTAGTACCATTTACTTCTTCACAACTGGAGCCCACCACAAGGGGGCCATTTGAAGCTGGAAGGCAGATCGCTTAGGTCAAACAAAACCTGAGAGCTTCGTGCACTCGCAGACATCTTGCAAGAAGACTTTTTCTACCTGGTGAAGGTACAACAGCTCTGCTAGCTTGCAGAGCAAAAGAAAGAAAGAGGGCTCTACCTCTGGGGTGAGAGGAAGGCTACTGACTCTCTTTGTGTTGGTCAAAGTGCGCCAGGCAATATGTTTGACCCTTAAGGGAAGCAAGGAAAGCAAATCCACGAAGTGATGCCAGATCAACTCTGGTGAAGCGTGCTGAAAGCGCGTGCATGGGAATGTTGAGCGTGTAGGTGTGCGAAGCATGGGAATAGCATGCGAGCTGGTGCACAGACATGTAAAGACTGAAGGATGGTGTGAAGGTGTGAACTGAGACTGCTGAATGGACTGATGATGATGGACTGATACTGATGGCTAGGGTGATGACTCTGATGGATGCTAACTCATGATAATTGATTCTGACTGCTAGATGCTACTAGACATCATGGTGGTTGGTGTATATTCTGGTGGTGGTAGGTTGTATGAAAACTTCCTAGGCCACAGGTAAGCTGTGCCTAGGTGCGCTCCCAGGGCTCAGAAGCGAATAGGGAGCGCTCTAAGTATGTGAATGATGTAAATAAAGGGTCCATGATGAAATAAGATATGGTATGATGCTAAATATGAGAATAAACGAAAAGGGACGCACCAGGGGACTGGTTGGACAATGGATGGATGTGCTGGGACACTGCGCAACAATGTGCGACTGAGCGTGGGAAGAGTGCGCTAAGCGCATGCGCGTGAATGTGTCGCGTAATGTGGGAAAGTGTCATGCCTCTGGTGCATTTCATGGGAAAGTCATAGATGGTGAGTTGTACACTATACCAATTGTCATGAGTTGTAATATGGGTGATATACACCTAGAGGAATCTCATTCCCTACACCAGTACTTCAGAACATTGAAGAAGAAACTGAAGCAGGACCATCCAACTCACATACCTGTTCCTCTTCAGAAGCCTCTGTTATCTGGAACCTCACTTCCAACTCACCCCTAACAGAACCAGAGTCCAAGGGGGAAGATACTCACTTCCCCAGATCATTCAACCATTCACTACCCCAAGTCCCATTCATTACTTTAGACACTCCATCCACCGAATCATCACTTACCCCTTCGAACCCTACCCATGACCTGTCACCCGAAAGGCAAAACCTGTTCACACCCACACCTTTCTTACCTGTAACTACTTCCTCCCTGTGTAGACATTTAGCCATGCTCCCACCTACTTTACCTGACCCTGCATGCCATACCCCTTCAGCCCCACAAGGCCCCACACCATCTCAAACCCCTATCGCACAACCTGCAGCCATGACTACCCTGTATAAAATGCCTCTCCAAGGAACCGACACAGCACCCAAATTCAATGGAACACCCGCACAGCTACTCCCATTCTTTGAGGATGTGGAACAACTGGCCAACTACACTAATCTAGATCAGGAAAAGCGCATCAAGGTAGCCCTTCAATACGCGCCCATCAGTGAATTGGAAACTTGGGCATGCAGGCCTGCAGCAAAAGGGAATGATTGGAATAAGTTTGTTGATGCTATAAAGGCTATGTATCCAGGATGCAATGATGACTGCCGCTACACTCATACTGACCTAGAGAACCTCTGCACAGAACAAGCCCACATCCTGATACACTCCAAGGAAGAGTTAGGGCAATACTACTGCAACTTCCTCAAAGTCTTGCAATACCTAATTGACAAACAACAGTTAGTGGAACTAGAATGCAGTAGATTTTTCCTCCAAGGGGTCCACTCAATGGCCAATGCAGCTATCAGAAGAAGGCTCAAAATAAAACTTGTCACTCACCACCCTGATGACCCATACACATTAGATCGGGTATACAAGGCCACAGTTTTCTTATTACCTAGCATTGCATCCACCGCAGTACCTGTTACAGCGAACCGTAGATTGACTAGGATGGGCGCGACGATAGGTACTCGATAAGAGTACGCCTAAAGCCAGATCGTGTCCTCACAAATGTAAGGTTCTTAAGACAAGTTAGAGAGAGTGTCTCTAGCTTGAATATCGGTTATCGGATGACTTAAGATTGGGGGTCTTAAGCAAAGGATAGTTCAGGTAAAACCTAGTAGATTAAAGTGAAGTCTACCTAAGTACAAGACCTAGTTTATATAGTTGTAACCTGCTTTAGGGCAGGTGCGTATACGTCATCAAGACGAGTCAGAGATAAGGAATTGAGTCAGAGATAAGGGATGAGTCAGCTAGCGATGGCACGTGGCGGTCGTGCTGTAATACAAATATAGACGGGCACCTGTCTAGTGATGGCACACCTTGGTGCGGTCATGACGTAATACACATGAGTACGAAGAAAGAGATAGGGGGTAACCACTATTGTAACATTACCCCTCATTTAGCGATGAAGTCGCCGACTTCACATATCCTGGTTAGCCCAGTAGATGGGATCCGCATCGTAGTTGGAATAAAGAAGGTCGTCTTGTTCTTCCGTGATAGTAGGTTGCGCCAGGTGCTCAGCATGAGCGATGGCGTCTTGCTCGATCTCCCAGCGAGCGAGTGCGTCGTAGAAACTGACGTCAGTCCATACCAAAGGAATAACCGCTTCTCCTTTTAGTTCTTTACAAAAGACCGACAGATGACCTGGTGCGTACTCTTTGCAAACTCTGCAGTAATACGCGGGGCAGTTCTTATGATGGTGACCGGCGATGTGGCAGTTATGACATATGACGTTATCGACCGGCGATGTTTTCACAACTGTGACGGATGAAGACTGGTTTGGAGGGGAAGGCGACCGTGATCATTTGAGTGGTGCTTTAGTGGGGGAAGTGGAGGCAGCTCGTTTGGCGGCGAGGCGAGAGGATCTTCATTTGAGCGGGAGTCGTCGTGTGGTACGTACGATTGGGTCAGGAGAAGGAGAAGTCGGTACATCAAGTACGGCAATAGGAGGGATATGATCATCCTGATGTTCCTCAGTAGTTGCGACGTGAGTTGGTGGAGGTACGGGGACAGCAATGTGGGGGGAAGGTGGTCGTGCAACAGGGTTGAGAGCGATTCGCTCGGTGACGATGTGGATGGCTTCTCTGATAGCGTCTCTTGTTTCTTCCGGTAAGAGTTGGATTGCGGTATTACGAATGCGGATATGAAGATGACGGAAGATAGTCTGATGACGCTCATCATCAAGGAGCGCGGCGGTGCGATCAATGAGGCTGGCATCTCTGAT